CTCAGCGTGCTGACCGCCCACCCTTAGTCTCCTGAGAGGGGGGGGGGGGGGGGTGCTGCGACGGGCCCTCATCTCCCCCTCCCTTTGGGAGGGCGAAGAAGGACCCTGCTTATGAGCAATCGTATTTGCGGGTAAGGCTTGCTAATATACTCGTAGGATTGACTATATACCTAGTGCGTGTTAAACCTTATGTCATAATATATGAACGCATTTCTTCATAGTTTCGTTGACATCATTCTACATCCCGCGGTCCACGGAGGGATGACCCTAAACTTTACATCATACTAACTGCCGACATACATCGTGAACACACATACGCATACACACACACACACACGCACGCACATACACAAAGCACACATGCACACACAAAGCACGTGCGCGTATATGGCGAAGTGCATTCGATCACTTTGTTCGAGGACGATGACTGGATGAGGTGGACCAAGTTCGTATATGTGTGTAGGAGAGCCACTACCCGACCGCTCTTGGATGTCATTGTTGATTTGCACCCATTTACCACGTTTCTTCGCATAATTTCTGTAAAATGACCAGTCGTAATGCTCTAATCATGAAATTATTGAACGACAAACTATCGAACCCCCACATTGACAAAGACCTACAGCACGAAAAAATATAAAAAAAAGGGAACAGAGTCTTCACCACATTCGTTTCTTTGCACTTTGTTTTCTTCAGACAGGCCCAAGCCTTCTGCGGCCATTCCACAACGACTTTTTGCACGGGTAATTCGTTTGAATGGAGCAGGGATGCTGGAAGCCGAAACTCTTGTTGACACATTGGAACATTGGGCACATCGTGGCTCATCCATGCAGGAAACTTTTGCAGGGGTTGGCTCCCTCGAACAGGTATAGGTGTTGTCTTGTGTTATGATCGGCCGGCTTGGCTGCACGCTACTTTGACACATGAGACATTGTGGCTGAGCCTACCCCGATTTCTTCTGAGCCAGCGCTCCCAGAGATGCACCAAGAGCGGCGACAATAGAGAAGTCGTTCTTCTATAGTTATCCGAGACCGTCGGCGCCCCTCGTAAAACCCTTTGGGCACGCCTGACCGACTGACGGATTAGAAAAAGTTGTTGGCCGTCGAGGCGGCTTGCTTTGTCGTCAAGGTGCCCCGGGCAAAGCGCCCAGCGTTTGAAAACCGTTTGAGAATGCATTTCCCACGTTCTCCGTGGTGCCTAATACCACTGTTTCCACAAGTGTAGGTCTGCCTGGCGCCACATACTCATCACTGCAACGGTCTACAGAGTTGATTTCCACGTGGGACTCAATGTCTTCGTGCTGTGCTGTGTCGTGCGCGGTGTGGAGTGTTTTCCCCCTCACCACAGGCTGAACGGCACACCTGTTACCCCTTTCGTGGGTTGAGAAGGAGGCGGTGTTTCACCTTCCCCTTTCGGGGCTGGAGGTGAAGATGACAAACTTCATTGGACTGTCCTGGCCTCCATTGTTTTTTCCTGCAGGGAATTCTGGGAAGGCCAGGACATAAAATGTGACCACTGAGGCGCTCCCGACAAGCTCTCACAAGCTCCGAGAAGCTCACAGAAGCTCGAGGGCTTCCACGATGCTGACCCCATCGTGTAGCAACACGCTACCTGTAAATAATGTAAATAAAAGTTACTGTTAACAGCTACGGGCTCCTCTCCTCGACATCTCCCCGAGACTCTGCTGCAGCTCCGGTTACATCACTTGCAAATTTCATGCTGGGTGTGGTACGATGGACAGGAGGCAGAAAAGCACAGTATGCAACCTCTTGTTTTTACGCGCATAGAGATACTCTGCCGGCGCCGTACATTATCCAAGGGGAATGTGCCAGAAATGACGGTCTCTCGCGAAAATTGTTCCCAAAAATCGCCCCGAAGTATACCATACACAGGCTATCACATTGACTCGTATACTGTATATTGCTACATGCATGCATATTGCTGTCTTTGGCTGTAAGTTTTCGTCGGTGTTGCACACGTATGAATTTTCGATGCTATTGAAACCGCAATCGTGTCTTGACTTTTATAGTGAAACTCGCTCTTAAATTAGCGATTTCGCCGCGTGCCTAGCAAGATGCGCGTGTTAAGCGGCACAGAAGCTATATTTGCACTGGTCTGAAGATTAACAGACCATGATAGCACAATACCACCTACTACAAAACTTCTGTTACCCATTTTATGATTATGCATTAATTACGCGAGTACTGAGTCCACGCATCTCAATGTTTCCTGCGACTGTTTGAGCGTATTGAATGCAGCTCACAATGTATACCACAAAATTATTTCAGCCAGGTTATTCGAGGTCTTACGTATGTTTTGTGTTTCATGCGAAACTGAGAAATTACGCAGAAAGTATTTCACCGAGGGGGTGGGGTGCATTTATACTTTATGTATGTTCGCGCGTGCGTTTGTGTGTGTGCGTACGTACATATAATCAAGCGAAATCGAAAATGTTGGCAGAAGGGGGGTGGGGGTGGGGCGTGCCACTCCTCTGACTATGCATGTGAAAGACACGTATTTTCGCAACCCACGAAGGAACAGAAATAAACGTTGTGGGCATGAAATAAGATAGCAGAAAAGAGAGGCCACCTTCTTGAGTGGTATCGATACCAGTGGAAGCTTGGCGGCACTGGGAATCGAAGCCAGCTCATCCCGCATTGGAGGTGAACTGACAAACTTCGTGGACGTTCCTATAAATTGAACTTCCATTGGAAAATGTGTTTCGAGCGATTCGTATATTTGGAGAGAGAGAGAGAGAGAGAGAGAGAGAGAGAGAGAGAGAGAGAGAGAGAGAGAGAAAACATTTGTTGAAAGAAGCTTGTGAGTGAAGGAGGGAGGGTCCCTTATTCCAGGAACCCTCTGGCTTGGACAGCCCGCCGAGCTCGAGCGACGAGTTGATGCTGCTCGACCAGGTCCGGCTGGGAGATCGCAGCCTCCCACGCTTCACTGAGGAGTTCCGCATCTGGTGCTGCTGCTCGTAGTCTTGGGACGCTTACTCTGCACTGCAGTAGGAGGTGCGCCAGAGTGTCTGCCACATTGCAGTGAGGGCAGATGTAGCTGTGCAACGTTGGCCTCATATGGTGCAATAGTACGCCGTGTGTGAACGTGTTGCTTTGAAGACGCCTATAGTCAGTCCCTTCGTCTCTTGTGAGTTTTGGATGTGGCGGGGGGTATAACCTGCGTTCGAGCCGATAATCGAAATGAAAAAAAAAGAGTATGGGAAAACCCAAATACATTGATATTTGTGGTGGTCAATGCACCGTTAGTAAAGGGCGAACTCAATACCAGCACTAGCCAAATATATAAATAAAAAATAGACACAACTAAGAGTCACAAATATTCGGCACATTGCGTGTTCATCTCGTGGCGACTAATTTGTCTGCCGCGTCGCACGCTGCGCCTCTGAGAGCGCTGGCGTCGTTTGAAAACGCCGGCAACAAGCAGGCCACGCAAAATAAAGAAAGGAGGGCGAGGGAGGCAAAGCTCAGATAGGAGAAAGAGGAGGAGGACGCGCGCGGCCAGCTGCTGTGTTCCTCGACTGCACGGGGCCGCTGCTGCAGGCAAGGGCGGAGTAGGTCTGCGGGAAGCGCCCGCCCAGCGATTAGGGGCCTCGCCATTCTACGAGCAGATGTGCTGTCCCCCCCCTTTTTTTTGCGGGCACACAGTGCTCCCCTCTCACCACGCGCACACGGCGTGGCGTGTGCACGGTGCGCGCAGCGTCGCAACCGCAGCCGACACCGCATACGCTATTCTCGTGGCGTTGGGCCTAGTGCTAGCGCACCGTTGGCAAGGTTCGCCCATGATTCCTTTTAAACCTAGTAGTGCTGCCCCATGCGAAAAAAAAAGTATGCCGATGTATGTGTAATACAGTTATAGTCACCTGTTTTTAAATTACAACAGTCTACTGAAAGAAACAACAGAGTTGACCGTCCTGTCATGCATCTGCTCCTAGTCTGTTTCACGTGCGCTGACTCGGAAGTATACTTGGCTGATGCCAGTACCACGGGCGCAGCAGTACTTTCTTCTTCCCGGGTGAAAGGGCTTTCAACCACTATATGCACGTTCGTGCGTGCAGGAGAATTGAAAAATGCGCGATTGAAAATTTTCCGGAGGGGGCAGAAAAATTTAACTCGCCCCTTGCCCCCCCCCCCCCCCGTATACGTCAATGGTTAAGACTCAATTCCTCTTCAATATATACAAACATATGCACATACACGGAGTGTTAATACGCTGTATGCTGCAACATAAAATAATTTGCACGACTCCAATCATAAAACACAAGCTGATTGAAAATAGCTGGACAGCTGTTATAATGCGTGTGAAATATTCCAGTGAAAATATTCCTCAGTACGACATCGAACAAAGTTGAACGAGGCGATAAAAGAACGGAAATTGGGTCACATCTTGTGCAGTTATACACCAGACCGTTATACCCATTTCCGAGCCATAGGAAAGTCTTGAAATTCCAAGTCCACTGCTTCACAAACGATCGCGCCACAGCGAGCGCACAAAACAACCGTACAGTTTTTTTTTTTTCTATGCATTAGTTGTCCGACGGACCCTGACTTTCCCTCACGCTTCCCCCAAAATCTAGAAACGCCGCCCGGCTTGGCATGGGGTGGGTGTTGTTCAAAATCTGAACTGTCCATTGTCCCGCCTGTAAGGCACGCCTCCCATGCAACATACGCCGCCATTTTGAACACGCCTTTACGCGCCGTAGTACAAGTATTCATGCGCGCGACTCTTCCGCCGACGCTTTCTTTTTTTGCCGCCCGCTCTGCCTTCGTCCCACCCGCGCGCCTGCGACCACCCTCCTATCAGTCAACATATTTATTGCATTTTACTATCGAACAAATTATTTTATACAGTATTGAAGTGCTTAAGAAGCTTTAGATAACGCTGGATATTTTGTACAAACCCTCCGCAGGCGCGCGAAAAAATTATCTTCAAAGAACTACTTTTTCACTGCCTGCGCACGCAGGAGCGCGCACTCCAGAGGCAGGCAGCCCGCTGGAAGGCTGCCGCGTTTGCCTATGAAAATTACTTCACATATGGATGGCATCCTCAAGTGCTGTCCCCGAAAGTCCGAGTCCCTCTGGGACTCGGCGTAGGAGACGGTGCTCAGTGGCTCAGAATGAGCACGACCACCGAAAGGAGCCAAGAATCGGAATACGTCGTTCCCAGTGCTAACTCGCAAGTAAGTCGATCAGTCCTCGGTTGCCTACGGGCCGACCCTAACCCATCATGGCGTCTCAATGACCTGCCCCTCATCCCGTGACCCCGCCTATAACTGTGGTGTCGCTTGCCCCCACGTTTCGGACAGCTCGCGCACTGTCTTGAAGTGGGTGGAGGGATCGGGGCGCGAGCACATGTCACGTAGTGCAGTGCTTCAAGGATTGCTTCTTGGACTTACGCTTTGTATAGCTTCGGCGACTGCCATAGCTTTTGCGTGAGTGCACGACTCGCGCGCACTTGTGCCACTGAAAGCGCTGTCGAGGCTGATTGCGAGCTAATGAACATGTTGTGTTCTGTACATTTGTTTTGCATACATTTAACGGGTCATATCTATTTCATGTGCAATTAAGATCGCATTTAGAACGGTTTGCACGTTGATTTGGCGACACAGTTTTACGTGAACACTGCCGCGATTCCTGTGAGGCCGACTTCCTTTCTTGCACCAGTGAAGCATGATATGCAAACTTTTTTCATCGCGCATTCTTACGCAGTCTGCGCGTATTGAAGAGAAGCTTGTGCAATTTGTGATTTCTGCCACTGCTGACAGTGACTGCCCTAAGGGTTCGGGCCTTGCACAACGATCGACGACAGCGCGGGCGACGTCACACTTTCCCTCCGCGATTACTAAGGGCACAAGCGCAGGCTGCAAAATCACAATATTTCGGACCACCTGTTGAACGCACTTGGCTGAAAAGAGTCCCCGCAGCTGACTTCGCTGGCGGAATGGTGTAAACACTTGTCTCTGGGCGCGTCGTCGATGGCCTTGAGTGCCACAGCAAGGCTTGAGACGACTGCAAATGCACCGCTCCGAAATACATTTTTGCTGGAATAGCCGATTTCGGCACCCTCTTTCAGTAGTGTTATTCGTCACCCGAGTCGCGAAACTGGAATGTTAACCAAACCTCGTGAAATGGCCGTGAATTAGGAACGAAGGGGAAAGAAAAACACGCTCAGCTGAGCCGAGGAGAAAAAACAAAAACATAGGCTTTAGACGACGCGGTCTTTATCTGCTCTTGGCTAATCGTAATGACGTTTACTAATTTCGATGGAACACATGAACTAGACGAGTTGTTGTTCTTTCATACTGTCCTGCGGAGTACTGCACTTGGGTGATTGGAGGTCCGAGTTGACCTGCACAGATGCTTGTCTCGTGTGGCCTCTTTTGTGGCTGCATGAATTCTACATCAACACACTAGACAAAGCAAACACCTGTGTGGTATCTGCTCGCGATAGGCGTAATAATAATGCAGTACGCAATAATAAAAAAAAACTTATGGGGCCTATATTATCTTATCCACAGAGGGTGACATTGTATTATGCTTAATACTGGAATACATGCCAATATTGTGCTAACGAAGTGTAGATGACGATATGTGGAAGATATAAACAAGTTTTAGTTACTGCAGCATTCAAACTTCCATTTTCGTTTTGGAAGCCAGTTCCTCGTGCCGCAACTGGGAATTCTGACTGCTAGTGTAAGATCACACTGTAATCTGCAGTGCAGGCTGGCCACAGACGTGTTTGAATGTGTTGCCCTTTGGTTTACTGAAAAAAAATGATATGTTAGTTTTGTTTCTGCAAGTTTGTTCTAACTGGTGAGGAAGGCAACACAAATCAGACTATACCTTGAAGGGATGCTGAAAAGCATTACAAGATCAGTTTATATATATATATATACTAGAGCCAGTATGATGCAAAAATTACTTTCACTTGACGCATTGTCGTGCTACTTATTTTTCATTCGCTTTCAAGACTACAAGGGCATTGAAATGAAAAGGTATGAAACAACATTTAATAATCAATTAAACGTGTACACTATGTGCTTGATCACAACGATTCCATTGACGAAGCACTCCGAAGGATACTGATTTCCCCAGAACTCATGTGGCCATGATGAGACCGTGTCCTTCACAGCATCATTGAGTTTGTTGTCAGTGCTGGTAGCGTTTCCCTTTCAGATGTTTTTTCACGGCACCAAACACACATAAAAATTCCAGGCGATGCATCGTGGCCGATGGAATGCCTTCAGCTCCCAGAAATCGGATAATGCCTCGCTGCCCCTTAGTCATTCTGTCCTCATGCGCACTACTGCATCATTTGAATGACACCCTTTATACAAGCATTTGCTCTCTCCTGCTCGTGCTCCTATCCATGGTGAAGACTACAATTGCATCCCTAGGTGTATCGCTACATTCTCCCATACAATGTTTTGTACCTTTTCATTTAGAATCTCTTGTAGCTATTCTGGAAGTAATGAGGGCATGCCTCTGCATAGAGTCACCAATTAAGAAAAGGAATGGGATCTGTGCATTACTAAGAAAATAAAAGCCAAACGTTCCTTTCTTGCATCCAAATTTTAGTGATTTGACACTGTGACATCGAATAGACATAGCAATCACTATTGCAGCACCGTGCCACAATTCTGAGTATTCGTCATTTTTTTTTTTTTATAGCACCCTTGTGATGTGTTCTTATATATGCATTCGACGTAAATTCCTGGCTGATTGTCAAGGCATCTGAGATGAGAAGGGGTGATTTGTCGATTGCACTTATGGTAAGCAAGGAGCTGCAACTCTGCACATTGTGCTCTAGCTTCTCCATGCCTAACGGTGCTTCGCACTACACCTACTGTGATCAACTGTTAAAGCCAAACTGCTAGTCAGCACTAGATGGCGTTTCATTCGAGACTTGGAGAGACTAGTATGAACGTGCACATGAGTGCTGCAAGTTCTAGCTCATATGAGTCGTATTGAGAATGAGAACTTTTCACGCCACCCTCGTTGGAGTACATATGGAATGTTTGTAAAATTGGATAGCCAGCACTGCAACCATAATTGATGTTTCACAAATATTAGAGTCTATTTGAATAGAAGTTTCGAGACCTGGCATGGCTCTGTAGTAGAAAACTTGATTGCCAAGCAGAATGCTGTGCTTAGATTCTTGCTGGGACCCCGAGATGTATTCTTTGCATTTATTCGGGCCAACGCTGCCGATGTCAGCTTTTTCTTAACATTCACACATTAAAATTACCCATGTGTGTTCTCTCCATGTTCCTGGGTAGATACTAAGCGTCAATCACCTGTGGCACATACCCGCATACCAGTGGTACATACCCACACGGGAATGTGCCCCTGTCTGGCGGAAAGTGTTTGACGACGTATGCAATGGTGGCAGTATTCCTGTCTTGATCAGTGCGTCAAATTCGTCAAACCATCTTACCCTCCCATACTAATTTTGGTTCACGCCAAGTTGAGGGAGTGATCACGAGAGCACCCAGAAGTAAGCGGCTAGACAGACAGCCAGACACACATCAAAAGTGCTTGCAGTACGCAAGAAAATGCTTCGCATTTAGTAATGCATTTAATGCGTTTTTCACAAACTGCTGCGTGTAGCGGCTGCACCGTGAATGTTTGGTGGCATCACAAGCTCCTGAAACATGCAAGCCAACAATGCCACTCGCCGACTGTGCCTCTCAACTTACCCAGTTCCCAGCACTGCTATGAACAGCACCAGTAGCCTCAACCCTCTCATCTCCCCATAGAGTTCAGAGAAATGCTATGAGCAGCATTAGTAGCATACAATGCTCCTGGCTGGGGTATAGCATGGGTGAGAGTGAAGAGGAGTGGGATGAAAGGAGAGGAGGACAAGTACACATGCACCCTGCATGTGTGCAGCCGTTGTTACATCATAGCTCGTGGTCGTTTACAGTCACCACGTACTGACAATGCATCAAAAATACAGCCAAATGTACAAAAATATAGGACATTAACTTTGTTTATCGGAACAGCCGCCGATTGGAACCACTTTCCCTCTTCCGTTGTAACAATAACAGACCCTTTGTTATTCAAGACTGCAATTTCTCAGCAATGTTTCTAACTATACGCAGTTTCCATTATCTATCTTTGTCTTGTATGTGCTTGAATTCTTACTCATACATTTTTAGTTGATTTATGTTGCCTTCGTGATTTGCGCATCTGACACTTGTTTCTTTTTTTTTTGTCTTTTTTTCTTGTGTGTTATAAAATGTTGTACCCACCCCCTCTGTAATGCCCTACAGGCCCTGAGCGTATTCTAATAAATAAATAAATAAATAGCCGCGTGTTCCAAGTAGATTTTTAAAGTTTAGTCTGTTTTTCCCGATTTATGTTCAGTATCCATATGAGAGGAGGAAAGCATTTTGACAAGTAATAAAATGTCACAAGAAGCATGTATGCACAACTGCCAATAAGATTGTAGCACGCTAGTGTGGACCGAAAAATTGAACGAGTAGACGATGACATCACACCAAGCACGAGATGGTTGCGTCTGTTCTTGTTCGCAAAGGACTAAATGGCTTTAGGTGAACTATATAGTTTGAGGTCTCATAGCATCAACATCTGTCTGCTTGTTTCCACAAAATCATGACTGTGTTTTCACAAATTTTTTGTTGCAATACAAGACGTTAAAGTGTCGGTGTCTAAGTACGCAGGTTTGAGATAGGCCACGAGGTAATTAATTCTAGGTAGACCAGCAAAAGAGGAAGAATTAGGTTTGAGATCGTCAACGAGATAATGAATTCTAGGTAGACCAGCAAAAGAGGAAGAATTAGTGATAGACAGTCTAATACACTGAAATAGTGTATCTGTGTAAGTTAAAGTGTAACAGGGGAGGCTAGTCATATAAGGGAAACCGGTGAAAAATAAGAATAGGTTGGTACAGATATGGCAGGCATTCTCAATTCATGATTGGCAACCTGCCACTGTCTCAAAAGCAGAAAGTGTACATTGGATTTGACCAGTCCTAGGGTATATGGCATATATGCCATATGGCAGTATATGGCATACGTGGAGAACTACAAGAAACTCTAATTTAAGAATAGGATGACCAGTGTGCAGTGGAATGAAGAATGATAGTTATAACCTGGAGAGATAGGAAGACAGCAAAATGGTTCAGAGAGTGAACACTGGCAGCTGATATCCCAGTAGTTCTTGGTATTGAGAGAAACAGATGACAGAGGGCCAGTTAGAGCATTGGAATGGAGATCAAGAGATAGAAAGCATAGCTAAGAATGGCTGTGGGTAGATGTGGAGCAACAAAACTAAAAAATTCGCAGTCATAAAGTGGAATCTGCTAGATATATAGGATTTGCCAATGATGATGATGAACATGAATGGTTCCCAAGATATATTTATTGCATTGAAAGGAGGTGGAACTTGTGCAGCATGTCGCGTTTGCTGTTGATTGTGCCCATGTCCCTCTGTGGTCATTTATAAAGGCAAGCAATGCTGTGACGTTACAGGGTGCCTTTCTGCTGTTGTGGTCTTGCAGGAAGTACAGCCATCTCCATTGGCTTTGCTGGCCGCCACGTGTAGCAAGATCGGCTCCCCAACGGATTCCCCAGCTGATGACAGTGGTGGCGGCGATGGCGCCAATGGAGACGCCTCGCCCGCCAAAACCAACAGTGCCACCGTGCTCCCAGCAGGAGCGGGTGAACTGGTCGCTCAATATGTACAGACACCGACCATGGGTGTGCTCAACCCGGATGGCACTGTCACGCCTATGCCTTCACCTACAGTCAAGGCAGCACAGCAAGCACAACAGGCAGTTTTCTCTCCTGGCACACAGTTTGTGGCACAGGTAAATAAAAGCAGCCAAATGATGAAGTCTTGTGCAGTGGTATATAGAGGGAGATCCTGCACGACCCATTTATAGCAGTTTCTTAAAGGTTGCCATGACATCATTGGAATGCTTGTGTGTAGATGGTTATTGTCTTGGATGTGGCTTGGCGAGAACTTGGTCGTTGCTGCGACAAAGCTTTCCTAAAATGAAACCTTCAAAAGCAATAAAAATGTCATGGTTTATTGATGTTTGCTTACAATATAGTATAACTTTTTCGAAGAAATGAAAATGGAAACATGGCTAAACCAGCATATAAAAGTGCAGACTTTCTTTCCTGTAATGTTAAAAAACCACTGACACACAAGATTTGATTTTATTGTTGCAATAAGTAGGTAATGAGTCAATTATCATGGCTGGAGAGCTCACTGGCAGGAGTGTGCTACAATTAATTATTTAGAGATGGTTTTATAGTGCTCGATTGACTGTCGCTTTCAGAGAGCATAAAGCGAGGTGGGATTCAAGGTATTTTCGTGTAAACATAGGTGGCTGCTTGCACATTAGCACTATGTTGACAGCTGTTTTTAACGAAGGCTTTCGGGTACTCTTGCGGAAACTAAACATTTAGTACGTACTATTAAGTAAAAGGTCTCGCATGATTTCTTATCCGCACAGAATCTTAGATAACAAGGCTAATGTAGCAAATGCTTTTTGTGCAAAGTGCTTTTTGCTTGCTGAAAACTTACAAGAGCTTGTAAAATTCATGTCAGTAAATATCAAAACTACTTAGTCTTCTCCTATGTGGAAAAAGTGGTCGTCTACATATTATCTACATGTGGTGTGGTGTGTGAAATTTTGCTTGTAGTAGGTTTTACAGTGGCCAAACAGGCTATTATACTAGTGACCAAGGGATCACGGGCTTTATTTGGTTAAAGAATAATATTGCTATACATTTGCCTATGCGGTTTTACCCCTGTGCATATGAGTCAAGTCCTAGGGACATCCACATGCTTGGTGAATAACGAAACCATCTTGGTGTGGGAGACAATTTAGGCTCACCACCAACAAAGACCTCCTCATCGATGAACACCTGAATCTTTTTTCTGTATTGGAGTAAATGTGTGTTGACATCAATCAATTTCTGTAAGCCGACCTGCTTTCAATGTACTTTCATGAGTAATAAGAGCGGGAACATGGAAGCACATGGCGAAATTGCCTCAAACCCGACGCAGGGCGCTGAAGTCTCTCATAATGTTGGAATGACTGTCTCAATATCGCCACTAAAAAACTGCAGCCAATTGTGCGTAATGGGCCATTCCAGTGTATAAGTCGGATATGACAAGCGGAGCATGCAGTGTTCTGTCTACAGCGTTGCACAAAATGTTGCATTTCCATTGGCTTGTGTATGCTAGACATAAATCAAGATACAGCGAAATATAACTTAAAAAATAATGGCATGGCTCTTTAGGTGCGTGTAAAACTTACAACAGTTTATTAAACCTACAACACATGCGCGTTTGGAGTGACCAACAGTTCATGGAAAAGCATGGTGCTTTCCACTTTATTTTTGATGTCGGAGGAGCATCAGTTGAATTGGGGTTTTAGGCTATTTGTCCCACTCTCGTGTGTTCTTACATACTAGCACCTTATAAAGAGTGACCGTGTATGCATCAAAACGTATCACAGCTGCTTTTTATCAGCATGCTTGTGTGAGTGTAGTGTACGTAATGTGTGATGATAGTGCGCAAAGCGACTCAGTATCGCTTTTTAATGAACGGTGCTGAGTTGTGTATAAAGTGTTCAGTAAAAAAGCAGTGACAATGTTTGCTCAAGTACTTTTGATTAAAAAATGTGAGGTTCATAAAACTGTGCGGTCAGAGGAGATAGTTGAGCTTTTAGCGTTACTGTTCACTGCAAGCTTTCACTTGTCCTTATCTCTGAGAGGGATGCTCTTGATTCTTCTCACGCTTTATTCTGGGGATGAAGCTGTGTTTACTCGAGAGAAATCTGTGGTGGCTGTCTTACAGGCATGCAAGGGATTAACACTTTCGTGACCACAAGAAACATGGCCATTTTCGGGTAGTCCAAGAAATGTTATTTTTTATGGCACCCAAACTTTAAGTTTCTGATGTTGATGTTTATGGTATCAAATCGTACAGCAAGGAGTACAGTAAAATTGTAACATGAACAAAAAGAAATTTTATAAAACCATCAACACTGCTCTGAACAGGGTAAGCATAAAAAATTGATATATACATTTTAAGCACAAGAAACATACACACAATAATCCTGTAAGTATAAGTGCTATAAATGCAAAAGTTTTTGTGTACATAGAATAACATTACATGTGGTGTCTTTCATGCCACTGGGCGAAGCAGTTCCGCGATGCGATAAAAGGCAGGTTGGCTGCGCATGTTTCACAAAAAGCCTTCTGTTCTATCCACTAACTTGAGCAGTAAAAAACAAAGGTGACAGCTGTCACGAAGCGCCGTGGGACACTACGGAGTGCAGTTCCAATGTTCACTGCCGGATGCCTTCACGCAAGAAACTGCACTCACTGCGCTGCCGCCGGCAAGGGGTCCCACTCTAAGTATGTGGACATGCAGCGGACGACAGCCCTAACCTTCAGAATACATCGGATCAACTTAAAACGACACACGCCGGTCATAATGCGGCCCGAGCACAAAGCTAAACTTATCGGCGGACGACCACGGATGTGCCGGGGCGGTTTGACTGAACTCTCGTCGTCTGTGCTGCAATCAGAAGTGTTTATGTCATCTTCCGAGCCTGCGCTGGTGTCATCATCTTAAGATTCCAGCCCAGATGCATGAGAATCCTCTGAAATTCGCCATTTACGTGAAGCGATCACATGGGGCGTCGACGCTATCATTGAAACTATGCACGCTCAACCACACGTATAGAAAGGCGCTTTAAAATAACCATGTGTTCGGAAAAAAAAAAGACACAAAAACGAAACTGATAAAGTACTTCTTTTACATTCAGATGGTGCAACGGTGTACACAAGTGCTCAGAATGGGCGAATATTGAAGTTGTAAATATCTACAACATACTATTGATGAGCATAGGCGCGGTCATGAAAGTAAGCAGGACATTACCACAGCTCCTTGTGGCCTTGCTAAAGTGACATCACTCATGTCAAGAACAGATGTTATCAGCTGAAAGTTCATGTGTGGATGAAAATACCTTCCCATTTTGGGAATAAAGTGTGACAGAATTATTGCGCCATCGAAACATGGCCTATACATAGTGGTGTATAAATGTGTACTGGGAAATCGTTACATCATCACTGCTTATGGTCGTCACTGCTTACGATGTTTTAAAGGGACACTAAAAATAAATGACAACTTGGTTTAGAACTGCCCTCTGAAGATTCTAATGTCACAACTTTCAATATCATAAGTTCAATAGTAGTGGAGAAAATAAAGTGTGAAGTTTCATTTTAAAATTTCATGCCAAGATGTCCATGCATGACATAACAAATTTCAAAATGTATTTTTCGTAGTTTTGCAACATTGGCTCGATGAAAGCTTTCTGAAACTTCGTATGCAAGGTCAATGGCCCCCACAGATGACAATGTAGTTGAATTTTATCGATTAGGAGATACGTAGGACTTAGTAGACACCTTCGAAATTTCTGACGTTATGATGTTTTAAGAATCTGAAGGCGGCGTATTGTTTTCGGTGCGTTTTCTCACTTACCAGGCATCGTCTCGCGATAAAAGTGGTGTTTTCTGGATTGTGAAATACTGCTTCACTAATACGTGAAAAATCGTTTTGCAGTTTAGTTTCCCTTAAAATGATGCCTGCCCTGTTTTAGAAAATAAAAGTGTTGCCACCTAGAGAATCAAGTTGTTACAGGATGGCCTAAGGGGACAGACGACTGATTTTTCTTGACCCACATTTCTTACAGTACAATGGAAAGCTCCCCCTTGGTAGTGGTTAAACCTGCAGCAGTTGATTCTAAATGTGCATGGATATTCTGTTAGATGAATTTTTTGTTCTGAGAAGCCACTGTAAAAGTGCGAGTTTCTATTCCAGCAATGCCGATAGCTTTTGTTGCAAAGCGTTCATTATGCTTAAGGTTCTGCCCTCACGGGAGCTAGAGAAACTGTGGTTAACCATCTTCAGTTGTTTTTCAAACTTTTTTGAATATAAAAAGCAGCTAAAATAAGTTGTTCAAATGCTCGTCGTCATGTGAGGTCCCTTCTCCAGCTCATGAGCCAGGCACTCGTGGTCTTCGCAATTTAGCTCTGGCAACTTATTGCCAGAGTTGAATTGTGGTGGCCACGAGGCACTGTTTGTACGTTTCCTACTCGTTGGCATGTGCTGATCGTGAGCTTCATATCGTGTGCCAATCAAAGGCAGTGCTGCTATTCTGTTTAGTACAATCGAAGCCATTGGCAGGGTTTAAGTCAGAAAATGCTATAATAAAAAAGTGCTGCGTTTTAACGCTGATATAGAGACAATTAACAGCATACACTGCAAACAATCATGTGATCGCCATCATGTGCATCTTCACTTTTTTTTCCGCATAAGGCACCAAAGATAATTTTGAGTGAATAAATAAAAATTTAAATTTATGTTGAGCTAGAATAAAGTGTTCATTTCATTTCATTTCATTTCATTTTATTACCTTAAAGGTCCCCAGGGGGACATTACATAAGGGGTGGGGTTACAAAAAAACGTACAAAAAAAAGCCATGAATTAGTTTGAAAAATGGCTTGTGACGCTATGCATAAATGTTGATGGACAGGTGATTGCTGCAATATGGTGGGGGAGGTCATTCCAGTCTTTTGCTGCACGAAGAAAAAATGAGGCAGCAAAATTAACGGTGCGGGAACGTTGACGGGCAACTTGAAAGACATGGCCAATGCGATATGACCTGCGAAATGGGGGGGAAATGTAAGGTTCGATTGCAAGTGGACTGTGAAAAAGTTTATGAAACAAGCAAAGGGTGGCAATGCGGCGGCGGGAAGAGAGAGGGGACAGGCCAATTTCTTCTTTTAAAGATGACACGCTAATGTGATAGGCATATGAGGAATGAATGAATCTAGTAGCACGGTTTTGAAGTGATTCGAGTGCAGCAATGAGATACGCGTGTTGTGGGCTCCAAATTGACGATGCATATTCAAGCTTGCTTCTTACGAGGGACTGATATGCTAATAATTTTACATGGCGGGGTGTGTTGCGCAGATGACATTTTAGGAAGCCGAGAGTACGATTAGCAGCTGCGATGATAGTCCGGATAGTCTGTATTGTCATTTTAGACAATACAGCAATTTTTCTTTCAGTGGGGTTATCTCAGTCATATCGGGAGTGGTTTTCTGTCCCTTTAATGATTGTGCACAGCCTTCTGTTTCGGGAATGGTTACTTACTTGCCTTTCGTCCCTGTGCAGGTGACACCAAGTGGCCAGATAACTTACAATGCGATCCCCCAGATTCAGAACATCCAGATTGATGGACAGGAGGCCATTTTTATACCAGCGTCTTTCACCGGTGGTCAGCAGGCCATTCAACTGACTGGCGGAGGACCCACACTTCTTGCTAACCAGGTACAAAAAATGTGACTTAAAAATCCATTCCAATTGATTGCAGGAAGATGTCAAGATAGGCCACTTGGCTGGTATTCATCTTTAACTTGGTTACAGCACAACAAAGACGAGGACAAGAAATGTGCAACACAACGCGGTGGTGTATGTTTCCTCCTTTTATCCTTGTCTACGTTGCGCTGTCACCAAGTTAGAGATGTGTCCAAGTGCATACATGACTTCACCATGGCAATGTATAGTATGCTGCAAACAGGCTGTGCCAGGCAGTGCCCTATGAAATCGGGTGCCTGCAGTCACCCAATTACATATGGTACCACCAAATACAGCTTGTCTGCAGCATACTATGCTCTTGGGAACAACAAACTGTTTACCATAAAACAACGATATGCATTATTGCGAGTATGCCTCGGTGCAACAGTGGCTAGGGTGCTTGGCTGCTGACCCGAAGGTTGCGGGTGCGATCCCGGCCGTGGCGGCCGCATTTAGATGGAGGCGATGTGATAGTAGCCCGTGTACTGTGCGATGTCAGGGCACGTTAAAGAACACCAGATGGTCAAAATTTTTGGAGCCCTCCACTACGGCATCTCTCATAATCATATCATGATTATGGGACATAGAACTGCAGATTTTATTATTATATCTTTGTGAACAAAACTATGACCATCATGTCTTGGAGCAGTTTATTGCTTAAACTTAGCTAGGCAATCGCATGTAGCAGTTAAAAATGTCAATGTGTTCTTTTTTTTTTGTCCACACGTTTGATATAGAAAAGTACCTCCTGGTGTCAACGGAGCTCTTGCTCTTAAGGGGAGACGCTACTCGAAAACACTTTTTCTTTAGTTTTCATGTTAGGGTTTCAAAAATTTAGCCACAGAGATATTTTTTCTTGTAGATTCCAAAACTGTTATTAGATTTTGTGTGGCCTCATTACTTTTAAAGCTTATTATACATGCAATAGCAAAACAAAGGTATTTTTACTCTCGCTTTTTCGACATCAAAACTTTTGTGTAGATGTTTGTGTAATAGCTTAATATGCTTGTCATGAACTACTGTGTGCATTTAAGAGGTTAAAATTATGAGAAAAAAAAGCTGTTACTACAAAAAATGAACAGATGTACCAAACTTCTTTTTTTCAGGGTTCCTCGTATTATTTCTTGGTATGTTCTTATTGATAATGGCTATGTATCATAAATCAGAATAGATAACGGGCACTCTACACACTTTGAAGAATGTGTGTGCCAAGTTTCAGCGCAATACAATAATTTTAAGGGGATGAAACTATGTGAGTGAAATGTGACCGTGGCCAAAAATTTCAAAATGAGAAAAACACGTTTGAAAGTTTGAAACATGTTTACTAATTAGCGTGCACTTGCAAACACTCAAATGTGTGTACAATGCACAGGCAGTATGTCCAGGAGCTGGCCACGGTGACTAGAATTCACCCGCACAGTATGTAACTCCTTCGCGGTCCTTCCGAGCGGAGTCCTGTAGGCGAGCTCTCGTGGCCGATGCGCGGCGGTGAGCCCTCGCCTCAGCAGTCTGTTGGGCATTCATCTTCTGAATGCGCCTCTTGTCGCTGTAGTCCCCCAGGGTGGTCAAGCTTGCTGGTGGTAGAACACCAAGCTCCTCCAGGACCACCTCGAAGCTTGCATGGCCCCGGTTATACCAGAGCACAGCAATGGCTGTGGCAGTCTCCACAGCACTTCGGGAAGCAAACTTTGTTTTTGGGCACAGCAGCCACACCTTGCTGTTGAGAGACTCAGCAGCGTTCTGAGTTTTCCCTCGAAGGCATCGGGCCAGCAGCTTCTTGTCAGAAAGGTGCTTGTATATGGGCAGCAGTGCCCGGTCCTGTGCCTTTGTCAGAAGTGGTGTATGCTGTGGTGCAGGCTCGCCCATTGCTTCAGCACGCTTGTGCTTGCACCACGATTCTTGGCCTGGTGGGCAGAAGTTGTGGCTGCCAGCACCATCAGTGGAGCAAGAGTGAAAGTAGGACGCCCATATGGCAGTGTACATGTCCCGTAGGTCGCCTGTATTGCCCGTGATGGCGATCTCATAATATGTCTGCAGCTTTCAATGGTGGCAGGCTTGAGCTTCTCGCCTCTGGGCAGTGGTGTCGGCAATTTGCGTATGCCAGTGCCTAGGCGCTTCGCAACATGATTAGTGCAGTCCTCCTTGCAGATGGCACCTGCACCGTACACCTTGGCATCACAAACTCCGTTATATGCTTTGCTGTCGCCATCACTAAGAAATGTTGTGAAGCGAAGTGGAGGCTCATACAGCAAAGTGCGCTCCCATATCCGTAGTGCTGCTTCAGCTTCCATGCCATGAGTGGAGCTATCGGTGTTCCTTTCACAGACAGGTCTCTGGTAGGCCTGCCAGATTTCCTGTTCAGAGCCCATGTCGTTGTGTAGACTGCAAGCGTGGCAGTAATTCGACAGGACTTCGAAATTTAAGCACAGGCCGGTGTGCAGGGAGATAGCCGCGCCAACTCTGTTGTGGCTTTTATGGCCCCGTTTCTGCAAGGTCCCGTCATACATTACGGCCACGTCACTACCATCAACCACCTGCTTTGTTACGGCTCTTGCCTGGTTCAAATTTTCGGTTACGGCCCTCATAGCAGCATCGTGAACCTTGTTGCTGATTGCCTGGAAGGTTTTGTGGTGCATGGGCTTCGCTAGTCCAACAATCGCACAAAACCGCGAAAGCTGGTCATGTCCGATGCCTATGGCACGCGAGGCTACAACAGCTTTCACATTAGCCGCGAAGCTATCGCGCGAGCTGCCGTTGCCGTAGTGCCCCACCTCCGCGCAGTCGTCAGATGCTGCGGCGGCTTCGCCAGAGGCAACACGCCTCGACGTATGTGTCGAAGACAGAACACCAGACGCGCACTCACTGTTCTCACACCACAGGACGACAGTGCTTTGCGCCGTTCTGCCACCCCGCGAACAACAAGTTTGTGTTCATGGCAAGACAGGCACTGCGCTCCGCCCACAAGTGCCGTCATCGCATCGATGTCGCACAGCACTGCTGATGATACGCCATCACGCGCATGCCTTTGGTTTTTCTCAAAAAACTCCAGTTTTTTTTTTGTGAGGCGCTGACGGAAGTTTGCGGCAGCGTCGAGGCCTGCCGGCGAAGTCACTGTCGCGATCGTTGCCGACGCTGGGGTTAGGCCTAAACCTCTCCGGGCCGTTCACCTTTGCCGCAGTCTGACGACGCACTTAACGACGTTTTCCCACATACTTGTTTATTGTCCGGTACTTTTCACTTTGTACACCTGCTTTCTGGCAGGATTCATCGCGTAACTAATTGAATAAATTCTTGCGAAGTTCAGCTTGCGATGCACGCGGGTGAAGGGACAAGCGGGCGCTGCGCTAGCCAATGGCGCGCTCGCTACGGCACCACGTGACGCGCCGCGCGATTCAAACGGCACGCAGGGGCGTTCAAAAAAAGGCTTTTTTATAGTATTTTTTTCTTTCCAGACGAGACTTTCCAAGCCTGTCTTCGAGAGAGCATGGACAACTCTACCCGCCTCAGTGATTACAAATGGCGCACAGTGACGCTGCCTCGAGATACCGGGGCCGGGAAAATGTCGATTTCGGCAGATTTCAGCGATTTTCTAGGTCTCCGGGGCTTACTTGAGCGCATTTTTCAGTAACGTCTAACACGAATTACCGATTGAAATTTATTTCTGATAAACATGAATGTTTAAAGAATCTAATACGACTGAAAACGAAAAAAGTGAAAATTTCCGGAAAAAACTGCGATTTTTCGACCCGCGTCCTCCTTTAAAAAGATAATTTGCTTAGGGAAAGCAAAACATATTTGCTCTTTCTTTCTGTCTCGCTCTTTATTTCTTCCTAGGGCTTCCTGCGTCCACAAGGATTCACGCAGAATGTGGCCATCCGGCAGGGGAATGTTGTGCAGACACTGCAGCTCCCACTGGCGGCTGCAGCAGCCCCTATGCAGCAGACTATACCAGTCCAGGTGCCGATTTCGACAGGCAACGGCCAGACTGTGTTCCAGACCATCCATGTGCCCGTGCAAACGTTACAGGCCGTTGCTACCCCACAGGGAAACATGCTGGCTTCAGGGCAGCAGCTCGCCGCTGCACAAGTTGTCCAGCAGCTCGCACAGATGCAACCGCAGATGGCCCAGGTGAGAGCTCTTCAGCGTGCACCTTTGTGCCACTGTGCTGCAGTTTGTGGGACTTGGAAACTGAATGTGTGGCAACTTTTGACCAGTGGGGATACCACGTTCTTCATTTTAAGAAGTCAAGGTTTTGATGCAAGTTAATTTGGTTAGGGTTAATTATAGTTGAAAAAAAAAAGATGCTGACCATTTATTTAGTTTATTTATTTGTTTTGAGTAGATAGAGAACACGAAGACAGAGGAAATAGGCAGGGAACAGGCTGACAACTGCCACCTATAGAGGCACAAAGCCTGCCTGCTCCTTCGGGAAGGGGAGGCATAAGGTAAATACCAAGAAATCATGACTGTTGCGTGAACAAGGCTTCTACATTGGGGCCAATGTTTATCATTTATATTTGCGAAGCATTTTTCATTCATGGTATATCACATCTTGGCCCGACTGCATACGGGGCCTGGTACTCACACAGACACTTATGTTTTAATAAGCAATGATGGCTTTCCAAATTCAAGTCTTGGGTCTGTAAATGTGGCTAGAGCCTCAATCTTGTCCTGTTTGGCCGTCATAGTACTATGCACATAAAGTTTGAGGGCATGTTAGAATGGAGTAAATAGGTAGGCACCCCATATAGAAAAAGAAAAAAACACAAATAAAAACAAGCCTTGTGTAAACTGTACATATCTGCAGGCACTTCAGAAAAGAAGGAACAAGTGATCTGGAGTACTTATCCCATATCATTGAAAAGTATCTTTTAAAGTGTTAAATGTACTTGAAACTTTCGTAGAAGATTATTTATATAGGTGCTCCTGCACATCATTCTAAGTGTTGTATTTAATTGCACATTTTTTTTTAAAAGACGGAGCAATGTTGGGGGTGCGTTTATTATGTGGGGGCAAACTTCATGAAAGCTTTTTCAGGATGAACAAAAAATACGGTATTGCAAAAAAAAAAGTTAGGTCGCTTATCTTTCGCAATTTACATACGCGAACGCTGTTTGGAACCGGCTTCTTTGTTGCACTTCACTCATCTTTGGTTGTTCAAGGCGTTACCTTCTGCAAGCTGTCCCCGCACCGCTCGTGCACTCCATAAAAGTGTTCCTCGGCTTTTTTTGCAATAATTTGACCGCAACAGTGGTATCTGCTGCGATCTCACGCGGCACCCAGAAGCATGCACTACGATGCTACGACGCGCTTTGCCAACTTCATGGCAACCTCGCACAACGACCACAATGATGCCGTAAACATTGCAGCAAGTAACCAAAATTTCAGCTAGCTACCACCTCAGCATCAAAACAAACCGTTGGTAACAAGACTAACAACAAAATACAGCCGCCGCATCGCTGTCCACACGAGAAGTTACTGTAGAGAAGGTAGCCCATGTCTTGCGTTTCTTGAAGTATGTGTGGATAAAAAGCATGGAGAGTGAATTGCAACAGAAGCGAGAATCAGGGGCGCTACCATGCTGCAGAAATTGTCACTATCTTTTCTGGGTGACAAGCGATTTTTCCTAGCTTTCCAGAAAACTGCCGACGCGATGGTGACAAATGGCTTTTCACTACAGCAAATCCTGTCGTCGTTGCTTGAACATCGCGTGTAATATGGTTGGGCCTTGAATTTTCGTATTTGCAGGAAGCGACAGTGGGACCGTGCGGACAGTTTACCGTGACCTTCACTTGCTGTGTGCTTGTCAGCTGCAATGTCTCTACACTCACACCATTCATGAACCCCGCTGTGGCACACAGATAGTCAAAAAAGAGGGAGGATGTGCTGTGCACTGACAGAAATAACAATATGGCGTGTGGCAGCCAGCGAACAGAGGGGGGGGGGGGGGGGAACGTGCTGATGGGGGGGTCGGCATAATAATAAAATACTTAACAGATATAAAGGGCAGGGAGGTGCTAGGTGTCGGTTAGCGGGACTGCAGCGTGAATGTATGATGATGCGCTTATTATGTGGAAGAAAAAAATTCGAAACTCTGACGACTGAAGTTGAGGGTTCATTTATTGTGTGAGTGCGTTTTTTATATAAATATGGTAGTCATGAACTGACCTCACTATAGGAGTTTAATACCTCATTAATCACTTGCTGTAAATATTTTTAGTCCACGAAGTATAAACAGAGTTACAGAGATTTGTTATAAGCTCCAAATGCTTTCTGTTTTCTTTTGTCCTGATGAGTGCATTGAAACCTACATTGATGATAAAAGAGGGGTAGGAAGTTACGTCTTGCACGCTTCAAGGTCTTGAGCAGTATGGATGAGTTTTGCGCCAGCATGTGGCGATATCTCATGATAACTCTAGTACCTATGCAGCATAAGAACAGTTGTTGTACTAAAGTGTGGCAAAGCTTGGTGAAAACCCTGTGCACACCAACCTTCACCTATGTCGGGCTCACCCGACGTATAGTACCCGAATCGAGATAGCGAATTTTGAAGTTGTTTTAAATAACTAAACATTAAATTATATCTGCCAAAAAGGTGCATCAGAGATAACAAGTGCCTGCTGGTCTTAGAAACAATGATTTGCATTGGTATTTACTGTCGTAGTAGGCGCAGCACAAGAAAAATAACCAACTCATGCATCTTGTGTCTGAAAGGCATAAATGTAGCACACCTGGTGCTATGTTGCATGATTGCAGGAGAAAAAAAAACATTAATTAAGCAGACAACCATTGCTCAGGATCATACCGTATTTACTCGCATAATCCTCGCACTTTTTTTGCCGGTAAACTGATGCAAAGTTGGGCGGGAGCGAGAATTGCGCGGCGAAAACTTTCCACGAAAACGTACAGAGCGAAAAAGAAAACGAAGTAGCCGCGAATCGGGGTTCTCACACCAGCAACTTGCTACAAGCTTTAAGAAGTACTAATTAGAACTGAGCTCACCAATAAAAGCAGAGGTTCAACACAAAACAAGATTTATTTGAGACACAAAAAGTGCAAGCAATTAGTCGAGAATTAGAATACCATACGCAAAGCTTGTGGGCGTTGCGGGCGTAGCAATAACGTTCGTCGCTCAACAGGAGCCCTCAAAAGGTAAGTGTAGGAAATCAGTATTGGGCTGATGGCTATTTAACGGAATCGTGCGCAGTTTCCTTCTGAAGAAACAACGTTTGCCATCAATCCCAGTTTTAGGCACACGGCAGGCCCAACGCGTCTTGGTGGCTTTCAGCTGCCGTCACCAGTAGCGAACACAAAACTTGTAGACTCCGAAGGGCCTACCGGCGGCCCTGTTGCCGTCGTTTAGTGCATGATCTATCACTTGCAACTTGAAGCAGTCGTGTAGCTTCGGTATAACCCCATAACGTACCAAGATTACCGACACAGCATACAAAACACGCCGCAACGCGCACTGGCCACTTTGGCTTGACTTGGATTGATTTTGCGTGCAATACATAGTACGCTCAATACTTAAGAGATGGCGCCACATGGTGCAGGCTATCATCATCAATGGCTAGAACGAGCAGACGACATTATTGCGGCAGTTTTCGGCGTGCGGTAATTACTCGAGGAAAAAAAAAATCGTATTTTTCTTCGGCGATGTGGGGGGTGCGAGAATTATGCAAGTGTGAGGATTACGCGAGTAAATACAGTAAGTACAAAGATAAATGAATTATCAGTGTTTTTGAAGATGGGGAAGTATGCATGCCCTTTAATTTATTGAGTTCAAAAAAAAAAAAAGAACTTTTACTGTGGATATTCTCATGATGAATAAACCAGCCAATTTCCTGGTCCATCTGTATGACAATGTAGTCTGTCGTCAGCTGTGCTTATTTGCAGGGCAGTGAAAATTTGTATCCAACATTGTGGGATGAAAATCGGTTCACAGGAACTATACTCGAGCACGTTGTAGGCTAATGGGCTTGGGCCAAAACCACAGGAAAATTCATATCTGTGAGGATCTACTGTGCGCTCAAAAAGTGTTTCAGGGTGCTTTAAGGATGAATGAACACTGGTGGTCATAAGGACCCGGCAGGGGTTGTCTGCAAGCAAATATTTAGGCATTTGAAAGAACTTGTTTGCCAGAATAGGAATGGCTTCAATCATGTGTACACACATGTATGTGTGTTCCCTATGTTACTGCCATTAAATCTTCCTGATGATTTTGAGCGACAAAATCTCTTATTACAGGCAAGCTACCTGAAGCCATGTTTATGCCATATATGTTATAAGCAATGGCTGCTGAATATTTGAAATGCCTATGGTAGACATAAAATGCGGTGTTTGAGAGAAATACACTTTATTAGTGCACTGGGAACATTTTTAGGAAGAAGACAGATAGGACAGAGTGCACTCTGTCCTATCAGTTCTCTTCCTAAAAACGTTTCCTATGCACTAAGAAAGTGTATTTTTTCAAAAATGCATTACCAACCAGCCCAAGTAGCCCCTCTTTTGCAGTATAAAATGTGGGCTTGTCATGTTAGAGTTATGGCTTGGCTTTTCCTCTGGCTTGGAAACAGCTCAAAGCTACTATATGTGAAAGTGTCCTTTTGATACATTCACTTTCAAGGAGAAGTTGCCAATGTGCCGAACAAAGACAACACTCATTCTGCTCATTTTGCTGGCCAAGATTGTGTGCAATTGCACAGATGCAGTTCAAAAAATTGAATAGTGTAGTGTAAGGTTGAGTAAATTTTGGTTGTCATTAAACATTCCACTTGTGGGTGCAAGTGACGATGCAGTGAAGACGCCTAAGAACCAAGCATGGCATGATTGAACATATAGTGGCCGAAGTATTTGATGCCAACTGTGTGGTGTTCTTCTGTTTGCTTCATTAGGTGTAGCACCAGAATCTTGAAAGTAAATTTTTGTGCAAATTAGATTTCACTGCAACATAATATAACATAACAATAGTGCCTTTCTGAAAGAAATTTTCCTATCTGATGCTTAAAATGTGTATTGTTTGGACAATGGTAGGTATTTCATTGTTGGGAAAGCTTAGATGCATTCGCTGGGGCAGGCTGTCTGTGTTTTGCTGTTGAATTAGACCACCAGCTGACTTCAAATCATATGCAGACTAGCACTTGCTTGGTGCAATTGGTGTACTAACCTAAGCTCGGTTTGGTGTGTGGCACATTTAGGTGGTCACTTGAGTGAGGACCTGTTGCGGGCACGTCTGAACGTGTTATTTGTCTGAATAGTGGGATATCAGACCATTGCCTCATTGTTTGCTGCTAGGCTATCCAGTGGGCCTCTAGGCACATATTTTAATGAGGGTACAAGATGTGTTACTGTTTTTTGCAGTAGTGGTGTACGAAGTAAGGGCACTTTTGTTTATATTGTTTAAGCATGCACTTGTCATGAACTGCACGATCGTTTTCCATTGCTGGTCAGCAGCACTAATGCCCCCAAACCACAAAGCACCTGATTAATATAAAGCAGATATGTATTGTTTGTTGGGAGCAGCATGGCTTACCCAAATGTGCCACACACTTAACCAGCCTGCCTGCCTGCCCACTGCACTGACTTGCGGCTCTCTCGGGGTCTCGCTTTCCTCCTGCTCCTCTCCCCCCATTTCTGGCTTGGTGGTGGTGGTGGTGCACAGCTGACCGCCCAGGGCCAACTGCAGCCGATCCAAGTCACAGCCACGCCCGCAAACCCCCAGCAGGCAACTCGTCCCCAGCAGCAACAGCAAACAGCGGCAACTCCGACGTCCTGGTCGGGGGCCACCCAGATGGTGATGACCTCGACGGGCGAGACCATCACCACTGCACCACAGATGACAGCCACCGTCCAGAGTGCCTCCAGTGCTCAGGCGCAGCAGCAGCAGGCCCAACAGAATGCAGCTGTAGCTGCTCAGGTGCAGGTGCGCCACATGCTTCCTCCTCTTTGCACCCTGCCTTCCCTTGGTGGCTGCACCCTTCCTGCTTCCCTTGCCATGGCGATGCCTAACTTGGTGTAGCAGAGGGGTGTGCAATTATGCTCGCACGTTTGGGCCCTGCGTGATGTTTTGTTGTGTGTACTTCCCTCTTGGCCTAATTGCGCTGTGTAGAAAGCTGCTTTAATCCACTGTAAGCACAATTTTATTGCTTTAAAGACAGTGTTCTTTGGTGTTCCAATGCCTAACTTGTACAGATACTTTCCTGTTTCAAGAATTACAGATGCATAAATTATGCCAGCAGCGAGAGGAGGTATTTTCCTGTAACACGGCATTGTGTTATGATCTATGCCTTCTTTACAGTCTTCTGTATCGGAGTTGCTTAAGAGAACAAAATCTGCCAATTACAGTAAAAGCTTAATATGACCCTGTACAATTTGAAAAATTGAATAATTCAGACCTGTTCTCTGATTCCAGGAAATATATGCCTTGTCGTATGACAACAAATGCTCGTTAATTTGGTCATATTTGGTCGCAGCCTGGTTTATACGAACCATCCTCGGAGCACACCAAGTGTGATGTGCTGCGAATTCGTGACACTGAAGATCCAGAACGGCATTTATGGTCAACTGAAATGAGCAAGCGCAGTCCGTGTTGCTATTGTCATAAGCATAAACCATCCGGTAATGACAGGAAAGCCAGTCAGAGTGCTTTGTACCTATTTTCATTTATCACCATGCTGGCAGTGGACCTTCAGAAAGGTGCTGTTGTCATTTACAATCGTGTTTTTGCTGCTAGGTCTTCAGTAGCTTGGCAAACTTGCTTCATTTGTGTTTTTACTCTGTGCTCATGAACTGCTCGGGAGCTATCGGTGATCAGCAGCTGGAGTACACAATACCATACTTTCGTTTTTACAGTGTGCCTTGCGAACTGTTTCAGTATAGTTGCCATCCATGGATCATGATCCGCCATTGTGCATTAGTGTGCCAGGTTTCTTCTACAGTGGTTGCAATGCTCAGCAGTCTCATTTTGACATTGTGTGTGTGGCCTTCAGAACTGTTTAAACGCTATCTATTATCTTGTCATTAGCGACCATGGTTTTGTCATCGATAGATCTGATGCTCAGTTGTCTCGCTTAGACTCTGTGAGTGATGGCCATGCGTGTGCCTTTGGAACTGCGTGGAAGCTATAATCGCATTGCTAGTGATCGCAGTTTCATGCACAGCAGATGCAGCACTCAATAGGTTCGTTTTGTCTAGGTGTGATGCGCACGCAGTCATAAAACTCAAACATGGGGAAATCTGTTCATTCAGTATGTAGTGATATGTATCCCGAAGGAGTACGGCCACTAGCGTGGGTCTGGTCTTAGCGAGCCGCAGAGCACGCGTTAACCATCCCCATAGCGAGAACACAATACTGCTCAAGGTCGCAACAGTTTATTGTCTGTGGCAACACCAAAACGCAGTACAGTCCGTTGCAAAGGCGCGGCGGGAAAGCAATGAGCTTATCCACGCCACGGGCGAGAAGTACTACACAGGGGTGCCGCGAGCACGCCTCCGTGGTAAAAGTGATTTACGGTGACACCGGCACAAAGGGCTTGGTAGCTCGAGCGAGGGCAAAGGCGCTCGCGTTGGCTTCGGAAAGATATGGGTCGGCGTAGCTTGGCCACGCACTAGGACACCGTATCGCTCTTCGGCCTAGCGTACGCAAAGGGGCAACCAAAAGTGAGCGTTCGGCTCGAGCTCGAGGCACCATCAGCGAAGTTCGATGAGCCCCAAACAATGGGAGTCGACGGACGGAAAAGGGAATGTGTGCTCACCCTTAGCTGTCCCGGAGAAATCTGACTCACTCCCGCCGTGCGCGCACAAAACGTCCAGAAAAAAATCACGCGCGACGCTACAGTCGACATCTGCTACCGGGTGAGAGGGGTTAAGCATCGCTCCTCACTCTCCCAGCGCGGCAGACAGCGGAGGAGGGGAGTCATGTCGGAACATGAGAACGACAGAAAAGGCGGCGGGCCAGCCTCAATTCCCACATTCTCTTCTCCTAAATTTGCCCTTTACCAGTCTGCAAAGGTAGCCGGAGCACACCCATGCAGTTAAAATGACACTGCTATGAGCTACAGCTAACCTCAGTCCAGCCCTGTAACTGCTGCTAAAAAAATGACAAAGGAGAAAAAAACAATAATAAAAATAGACACATGACTCTGTAAAAATGTTTGCGAAATGGAGCACAGGAAAGTAGAGCTAGTGCTCGTGGGGCTGAAGCGGGATAGCGTTTACCGCGCAGAGGGGCGGAAGAGCGTGAGAATGTCCGCTGGGTGCGATGCCCGTGCGCGAGGCCAGAGGCACGGAAGGGGGCTCTCTGATGGCTCGTTGCTGCTCTAAATTAGTTGCGAGTCCAACGAACGCCGCTTCGGTTGTGGTTCGGAGGACCCGCATTTCTGGCTCGATGACGGAGCTGGGATTTTGCGGGAAGCCGGGCCTCTCCAGGGATCAGGGAGGCCGAACTGGAATCGGCTGCGAGGTGCCCTGGCATTGTGCAGCAGCATATAGCTGCTGTCAGCTGGCCTCGCAGAGGAGCCATGGTAGAAAAGGGGGCAGGGCTTCTCGGCAACGGCCGAGAGCAGAGCACAACGTAAGTAGGTCGATGTCCCCAGCACCTCCAGTGTGGGATGAAACCACGACGGGTACTCTTCATGTGCACGCACAGAAGTGCCACGCGCACACACACCACCGACGGCTGCGTGAGCAAAGGCGCGAAGCGTCCTTCGTCCCTCCCTCCACGCATAAGCACCATTGTTCAAGGTCGCAACTCCCTTCGCCGATAGACAAAATAAACACGGAAGAAAAAGTAAAACAGAGCAAAAATGACACTCAATATCTGGCCAAAGGAGCATAATATCATAAAATACAAATGAACATTTAATATTAGACAAAAGAAACACAATATACACATGAACACTTAAGAAGAAACAGTGGCAGCAAAATGAGCGGGGTCGACTTCTTTACAAGAAAAGGCCGTAAAGAAGCCAACCATACTGAGGCTAGACAGTAAACTGAAGGCCTTCGGTTGCGGAGAAGTCTGTCATCCGGCGCGAAATGACAAAGGTGACCGCTTCCTCAGATTATACTGGTGCGGGGTCCGAATGCGGTCCGCCGCCCCGGGTGTGCCTCGTTGCTTGCGTGAAGTGCCGCAGGGCACTGGCGCGAGCTCGTCAAACCGTGACAAAGGGCTTCAGGTCTGCGATATGGGCATGGCTGAGTTTTCCCGAATGGGGATCTTTCAGCAGGTACGCGAGTGGAGTGCAAGCTTTCTCCACTCGGTACGGATCAAGCCACTTAGGAGCGAGCAAGGTTGACAACCCCTTACTGGCACCGCTAAGAGCGTGGTTAGACTTTAGGACAAGATCGCCCACCTCAAAAACTAGCTCGTGGTGCTTGCGGTCATATTGGGCCTTCTGCTGAGCCCTGGCTGACGCCAAACCTTGCCTTGCTTTGCAGAAAGCTCGACAAAGCCTATCCCGAAGTGTCGAGGCGTAAGCAGAGCAGTCTGCCGGCATCTATTTTGAAGATGGGGAAGTATGCATACCCTTTAATTTATTGAGTTAAAAAAAAACATTTACTGTGGATATTCTCATGATGAAGAAACCAGCCAATTTCCTGGTCCATCTGTATGACAATGTAGTCTGTCATCAGCTGTGGTTATTTGCAGGGCAGTGAAAATTTGTATCCAACATTGTGGGATGAAAATCGGTTCACAGGAACTATACTCGAACACGTTGTAGGCTAATGGGCTTGGGCCAAAACCACAGGAAAATTCATATCTGTGAGGATCTACTGTGCGCTCAAAAAGTGTTTCAGGGTGCTTTAAGGATGAATGAACACTGGTGGTCATAAGGACCCGGCAGGGGTTGTCTGCAAGCAAATATTTAGGCATTTGAAAGAACTTGTTTGCCACAATAGGAATGGCTTCAATCATGTGTACACACATGTATGTGTGTTCCCTATGTTACTGCCATTAAATTTTCCTGATGATTTTGAGTGACAAAATCTCTTATTACAGGCAAGCTACCTGAAGCCATGTTTATGCCATATATGTTATAAGCAATGGCTGCTGAATATTTGAAATGCCTATGCTAGGCATAAAATGCGGTGTTTGTGAGAAATACACTTTATTAGTGCACTGGGAACATTTTTAGGAAGAAGACAGATAGGACAGAGTGCACTCTGTCCTATCTGTTTTCTTTTCCTACGCACTGAGAAAGTGTATTTCCCTCAAAGATGCGTTACCAACCAGCCCAAGTAGCCACTCTTTTGCAGTATAATATGTGGGCTTGTCATGTTGGAGTTATGGCTTGGCTTTTCCTCTGGCTTGGAAACAGCTCAAAGCTACTATATGTGAAAGTGTCCTTTTGATACATTCACTTTCAAGGAGAAGTTGCCAATGTGCCGAACAAAGACAACACTCATTCTGCTCATTTTGCTGGCCAAGATTGTGTGCAATTGCACAGATGCAGTTCAAAAAATTGAATAGTGTGGTGTAAAGTTGAGTAAATTTTGGTTGTCATTAAACATTCCACTTGTGGGTGCACCACAAGTGGAATGTTCAATTCACCAACACTAAAGCCACTTCACAATACAGTCAACCACTTCAAAGTAAACACGATTTCGCCTTCAGGTTCTGCTTCACAAAGCATATTGGCCGTCATGTCGCATAAACAACATAGAGCCTCTTTTGCAGTGAAGCATGTCTGATGTTAGTTTTCGTCGCACATTTGGCACAAGTGGAACCACTACAGTTCGTTTCACAACATCGGCATATCCATTATGAAGGAACAGATGAAGTTTTCCACTCAACTGCAGTGGTTTTTCAAGCTAACTAAACAAAGCTAGAAAGCCTGCTGTAAAGATATGGTGTAAGGTTGAGTAAATTTTGGTTGTCATTAAACATTCCACTTGTGGGTGCAAGTGACGATGCAGTGAAGA